GTCTACTGCAAGACTCATATTTCAAAGAGAAAAAAATTCTCAAAGCTTCAAAAGACAAGAAAAAAATGCATAATTAAATCACAATTTGACTGTAGACTTCTCAGCAAAAACCTTACAGGCCAGAATAAATTGGCATGAGACTTTGATAGTACTAAAGAAAAGAATTGCTACCCAAGAATACTGTGACAAACAAAGCTATACTTTAGATATTAAAAAGAGAAAAGGCATTCCCAAACAAAGGCTGAGATAATTATCACTAAACCTGTCTCGAAAGAAATAATAGAGTTCTTCAAACTGAAAGAATGAGATGGCTAACGAATAAGAAGAAATCAGAAAATAGGCAATTCACTGAGAGTAATAGCTATACAAATTTAGACTGTTCTAATGTTCTAAGTAAACATGGTGAGTAAACCACTCACATTTTTAATGAAGACTAAAAATAATATGTATAAGAGACAGAATGATGTAGAATGCGGACATCAAACATTGAAAATAGGAGGAATGGATGTAAAGAGTTCTTTATTAGTATTTGTAACGGGAAAACAAACAAGAAAATGTTATTAATCAGTGTCAAGTTGTTATTTCAAAAAAACTACTTGTCATAAGCAAAAGATGGTCTTAAGCCTCATGGCACTATAGAGCAAAAATCTATAAATAGACTTACCAAAAAATAAGAAATAAAACATACTAGAGAAAGTCACTTAAGCAAAAACTGTATAAGAGGGAGAAAGAAAAAAAGGAACTACAACAAAACTAGTAAACAAGAATCAAACAGCTTAACTATCAATAGTTACCTTAAGTGCAAATGGATTACATTCTCTAATAAAAGACTCAAAGTGACTGAATAATTTTAAAGGCCTAACTACATACTGAAATTTCAAAAACTTTAAAATTTTCTTAAATAAAAATAGAATAAAACAATACCCAACTATCTGCTTCTTATGCTTAAGAAGCTCACTTCAGCTCTCAGGACACACACATAGACAAAATGAAAGGATGGAATTCCATACAAATGGAACCAAAGAGAAAGCAAAAGTAATCTATTCAAAATAGATTTTTAAATCCAAATCGGCAAAGGGGGGAGGGGGGGCAGGGGGGAGTGGAAGGTCATTTTGTGAAGACAAAAGATTCCATCCTGCAAGAGAAAATAACAAGTATGAATATGTATGTACCCAGCATCAGAACACCCAAATACATAAAGCAAATGATGGCCATGAAAGATGAGATAGACTCCACTACAATCATAGTAGGGGGCTTTAACACCCCACTTTCAGAAATTAACAACTCCTCCAGGCAGAAAATCAAGAAACCACAGAGTTAAATTGTACCCTAGATCAACTGGACCTAGGAAACATCAATAGAACATTCCGCTGAACAGTACACAAATAAGAATACATATTCTTCAACAGAAAATGGTATATCTCCAGTATGGATCAACTGTATGTCACAAAACAAGTCTCAATGAATTTTAAAAAATAGAAATCATATCAGAAATCTTTTCTGACCATATGCAGTAATACTAGAAGACAACTATAAGAAAAACTTTGGAAGCTACATAAAAACAGAAATTGTTTTAAACAACTTGGTTTAAACAACACTGGTTCCTGAATAACCAATGGATCAAGGGAAAAAAATGAGGAAATTTTACAGTTTCTTGAAATTAAAGTAGAAACAAATACCAAAATCTATGGGATACAGCAAAAACAGTACTCGGAAATATATAACAATCAATGCATTAAAAAAAGCAGAAAGATCTCAAATAACTTATCAGTGCACCTCAATGAACCATAAAACTAAGAACAAACCAAATCAAACATTAATAGAAATAACAGAACACAAATAAATAATGTGAGGGCTACATAAAACTTCAAAAAAAATCAATGAGCTAGTCCTTTGACAACATAAATCTGAAAAATCTTAGCTAGACTAAGAAAAATGATCAGATGAATAAAATAAGATGAAAAAGGAGACACTGAAATGGATGTTACAGAATAAAGGACTATTGTTAGAGATTCTTATGAACAATAATACAGCAAAAACTTGATAGCCTAGAAGAAATCGACAAATTCCTAGATACATATGCCTCACCAAAGTTGAATCATGAAGAAATAGAATACCTAAATAGACAGCAATAACTAGTAGTAAGATTAAAGTAGTAAAAAGTATCCCATCAAAGAGAAGTCCAGGATGGTGGCTCCACTGCTAAATTCTACCAAACATTCAAAGAAGAATTAACACCAATTCTTAAATCATTCCAACAACACAGGAGTGAATCTAACAAAGCTATCATATGAGGCCAGCAAAACTTTGAAACCAATCATCGATCTAAATCTATGACCTGGGGCTGCCTGTGTGGCACAGTAGGTTAATCCTCCACCTGTGGTGCCAGCATTCCATATGGGTGCCAGTTCTAGTCCCGGCTGCCCCTCTTCCAATCCAGTTCTTTGCTGTGGCCTGGGAAATCAGTAAAAGATGGCCCAAGTCCTTGGGCCCCTGCACCCACATGGGAGACCGAGAAGAAGCTCCTGGCTCCGGATCGGTGCAGCTCCGGCTATTGTGGCCATCTGGGGAGTGAACCAATGAAAGGAAGACCTTTCTGTCTCTCCCTCTCACTGTCTATAATTCTACCTCTCAAATAAATAAAATCTTTTCTTAAAAAAAAAAAAAAAAAAAAACTATGGCCTGGTATCTTCAAATTATTAGAGGAAATTTAGAATTTTTCTAAAATTGAAAAAAAAATGAGAAAATGACTGTGAGACATTGACATAGGCGAAGACTTCATGGATAAGAAGCATGGGCAATAAAAGCAAAAATAGACAAATGGGATTACATCAAGCTAAGAAGATTTTCACAGAAAAGGAAACAGAACAAAGTGAGGAGGAAACCACAGAATGGAAGAATATATTTTCAAACTATGTATTGGATAAAGGATTAGTATCCAGAATATATAAGGAGGTCAGGAAACTCAATAACAAAACAATCCAGTTAAGAAATGGGCAAAGGACATGAACAGGCATTTTTCGAATGATAAAATACAAGTGGCTGAGAGACACATGAAAAAAATACTGAGGGTTAGTAGTCAGAGAAATGCAAATCAAAGCTGAAATGAAGATTCACCTCACCCCATTTATAACAGCTATTATCCAAAAATTAAAAATAACAAATGCTGGTGAGGATATGGGGGAAAAGTATCCTAATACCTTGTTGGTGGGATGTAAACTAGTACAACCATTATGGAAAACAGTATTAAGATTCCTCATAAATCTGAAAATAGATCTATCATGTGACTCAGACATCCCACTCCTGGGAATTTACCCAAAGGGAATTAAATCAACGTATGAAAGAGTTATCTGTACCCCCATGTTTATAGCAGCTCAATTCACAATAGGTAAGATATGGAATCAACCCAGATGTCCATTAGATGACTGGATACAGAAAATGTGATACACACACACACACACAATGAATACTACTCAGCCATAAAAATGAATGAAATCCTGCCTTTTGCAACAAAATGGATGTAACTAGACACCATTAAGCTTAGTAAATTAAATCACACCCAAAAAGACAAATATCATTGTTTTCTCTGATTTGTTGAGCTAATATAGAAAGTTAAAAAAAAACTGAATATGGGGCCAATGCTGTGGCATAGCAGGTTAAGTGCTGGCATTCTATATGTGTGCTGGTTCACATCCCACCTACTCCACTTCTGATCCAGCTGCCTGCTAATATGCCTGGGAAAGCAGAGGAAGATGGCCCAAATGCTTTATTGCATATTAGGGTGACAATAAATAATGGTAATACACCATATATTTCTCTTTATAAAATCTAAAAGGATTTTGAATGTTTTCATTAGAAATGTTAACTGTTGAAGGAGATAAGTTTACCCTGATTAATGTATATATAAACTGTATAATGTCCAAATATCACATGGTATCACAAAAGTATGTAACATTGTCATATGTCACTTAAAAGTTTTAAATTTTGAGGCTGGCACTGTAGCACAGTGGGTTAAAGCCCTGGCCTGAAGTACCAGCATCCCATATGGGGGCTGGTTCTAGTCCCAGCTGCTCCTCTTCCGATCCAGCTCTCTGCTATGGCCTGGGAAAGCAGTAGAAGATGGCCCAAGTCCTTGGGCCCCTGCACCCACATAGGAGACCCAGAAGAAGCTCTTGGCTCCTGGCTTCGGATCAACTCAGCTCCAGCCATTGTAGCCAATTGGAGAGTGAACCAGCAGATGGAAGACCTCTCTCTCTGCCTCTCTTCTGTGTAACTCTTCAAATAAACCAATGAATAAAAAAGTTTTAAATTTTTAATATATTAAAAGATTTATAAAGTAAAAAGAAATAGACAACAATAGAGAAACAGGAGTAAAATTGATTAAAAAGACACCTCACTAACGAGGTTGCCCAACTGAGGAATAACCCAATAAAAAGTTATTAAATTTCATTATTAACTAGGGATATGCAAATCAAAGTGAGATGCAACTACACACTTACTAGAATGTTTAATACTAAAAGTATATGACTATTTCAAAAGGTGTAAACAACATGGAAATCTCATATACCACAGGCAAGAGAAATTAGTAAAAGCATTGTTTAAACCTAATGTTTGACATTATCTGAGTGTATGCACCCCATTCCTTCTTCTACATACATATTCAACAAAAATACATGTATATAAGCCCCAAAGATGTCTATGCCTATACATATTTCTTTTGGCTAATCAGAGCGGGATGGCTTTCTTTCCTGGGCTACACATCCATTAGCCATTTGCTAGCAGAATGCCCACAGGCCACAGGAAAACTTACTGTCCCATGGTGGCACAAAAGAAACATGCCAGCACATGTCCCTTAGTTGGCTCCAAGAGGGGAAAGATAAACAATCTGAGGGCCTCCAACAAGACCCTGCCCAAGGCTGCTGTGTCCCACATAACCTGAGCATTGCCGCCTCCACTCGACTCAACCCCTATCACATACGTCACCTCTTTCTGCTTCCCAGTGCAATGGGCCTTGTATTGGGCCTCACCTCGCTGTGCAACACAGACAAGTCTTCTGCCAGACACGGGATGGCATCACTTTACCATCGGAGCAGTGCAGTGCCCTTCCAAGGTAAGAGAAAGCCCTGCACCTCCTTTCCCTAGGCCCTGCATCAAGAGCACAGAAAGATGGTGGTGAGCGAATGTGTCACCTGCAAACTTCTACCATCCCAGAGGTCAGATACCCTGCCCTCTCATCTGTATTGCCCCAGCCACTGGCCTTCCCAGAGGAAGATGTCTTAGGGTGCTTGCCTAATGGGGCAGCCTGCACTTGCCAAATGAGACAGGCTGGACTTTCCTTTCCTCTCTTAAGGAAAAAGATGATCCAGGATGCTACTCCTCTAAAGGAGGTCTCAGTCTGTTCTATACTAGCCCCAGGGTAGGCAGGAAGTAAGGCTGTCACAGGCTCTGCCTCTGCCAGCCTCCACTTTGGATAGAACTCAATCATGGATCATGCAGAGCTGTAGACACTGCAGAGAAAAGCAGACAGGGGCCCAGTTAAAGGAAGTAGCCTTCTTGCCATCTTATGGCCATTACATACCGTAGCAGAAGATAGAATGCAGGTCCTGATTGCTTCAAGTTCTTGAGTTACCCAACAGCTCTAGGATTGCACCATTGTCTTCAGATCTGCCCCCCAACCCCACCAACCCAGTCCAGCCCCCTTAACTCTGCCATCCTTCTCCTGCAGGCCTGTGAGCACCCAGAACTGCTGGTCGGAGGCCTGCAGTGTGCACTGGAGGGTCAGCCTGTGGACCCTGTGCACAGCAACCTGCGGCAACTATGGCTTCCAGTCCCGGCGTGTGGAGTGTGTGCACGCCCGTACCAACAAGGCTGTGCCTGACCACCTGTGCTCCTGGGGACCCCGGCCAGCCAACTGGCAGCGCTGCAACATCACCCCATGTGAAAACAGTACGTTCCAACCCCAAAGAACCTTCTGCAAATTTCCTATGGGGCACCGGGTACAGAGGGCAGCCCCTGGGAAGGAACCTGAACATAGGGCATTGGATCAGGTTCCAAGGATTGTGAGATGAGGCCAGAGTTGAGCATTGTCAGAGGGGTGTGAGTCTGTGTACAAAGAGGTGTTTACACAGGCCCAGGCCACAACAGTTGATTATTCCCCAAGGACTTCCACAGTCTCCCTCTGGCCCTCAGCCGGTGCTATTGGCCAACTGCTGTATGAAGTCACCCTCCAGGGTGCCCACAGGGCAGACTAAATAATGGCTCTCAGAGAGGTCAGACTACCAGGGAGCGAGCACTGCAAATGCTGAAGCAGCATGCAGAGTGCCTCCTGCTCAGTCGGCCCAGCACCCATCACTGCCCTGCTTCTCACCGAGAAAGGACCTGCTGACCCTTCTTCCCAGCCCATGGTCATCCGCAAGAATTTGCAAAGCCCCAGGCCTTCATTTCACTCCCTCCTTCCTCACACCGGCAGCCTCCCCAGCCCAACACCAGCATTTTCTCCCAGATCTGTTTCTTCTTCCTATGAACCCAAAATTCAAATAGGAAGTACTTCCCACCAGGAAGAAGGCAAAGCTTGGGGCAAAGAATAGGAAATGAAAACAGTTTCCCAATGCTGTGGCAGATTCCAAGCAGGCAAATAACCACATTTCTTTGGATACCTGGGAGTTGCAGGACCTCTCTCATCTGGTGTAGCACTAACTTATGTTTGTGACAGTGACTCATGATATCCAGAGAGTACCAGTATTCCATTCAGTGTGAAGTAGCTCAGGCTGATTTACCCAACCAAATCAGCACCAATATTCAGGACCTGTGTCATGTGCTCCATTACTGAACTGGAGTGCCATGGTGTTGCATTTAAAGAATGATAAAGCAAGACAGACTTAGGTGCAGAGTACAAGAAAAATGAAATTAACAGACAAAAGGTAAAGTAACCAGGGATGATGGCATCTAACCAGGGCCTGACTTGGGTGCTCACTCAATGTGGGGCAGCATTCAGTTCTTCTAGGAAATATCCCACAAGCTCGTGGGAAAAGTTGAGTTTGCCTAGGAGATGAGGTGGCCCCAAAGAGAGGGAGAAGACAAGCACCCTCAGGACCTTGAGGAGCTTTGAAAAAGAAAGCAAGGATGAGCCCTATAGTTCAGCCACACAACTGCAGGCTGGTGCCCCTTCTGCTGTTAATAGCCTGGAGGGCAAGCGGCTGAGCTCCATGAAAGTGAGACCTGCCCAGAGGGACTGGGGAACTCTGCAGCCAAGGCTGATCCCTGAGGGCACCCCCAGCCACGTGCCCAGCCGCACAGAGCAGTACTGCATCCATTAGCCACTGTTTCACATCTCCTTTCTGTCCCTTTCCCTGCCCTTCCTCCCTTCCCAGTGGAGTGCAGAGACACCACCAGGTACTGCGAGAAGGTGAAACAGCTGAAACTCTGCCAGCTCAGCCAGTTCAAATCTCGCTGCTGTGGAACTTGTGGCAAAGCGTGAAGACAGGGCATGGGGAAGAACTCCGCCCTGGCCACACAGAGGACTCACGCAACCACCTTGGACAGAACTTAAGCTTTCTTCATTTTATTTATTTATTTCCCCTCCCCCACCTCCACACACACCCTCTCCCACCACCACCCCCAGGCCCAAGGACCTCAGCCTGTTTTCTCTTTCAGTTAGCTGGAGGACAGAATGTTGAGATGGGAAAAGGACAGATGTCTCAAGGAGGTTGCAGAGCAGGCCAGGCACACAGAGGCACCCTCCCTGCAGAGCTGGCTCCCTCCCAAATCTGAGTCTCCAAGAGACCTAGGATGAGAGAGGCAGAGCCCCTGCAGACAGTAGGAGCCAAAGGGTTTGCAACATATTGGTACAAACTTTGGACAACCAACTGTGTCTTTCCTGGAAGCACATTGTTAATGCAGGAGTCTGTGTTCCTCTGTCCCCTCTGTCTTGGCAAGGACAAGGGGGAAAGGAGGGGCACACCATGCTGAGGCCAAACCAACCAAGCCAGAACTCAGCTCTTCTGCTACAGGGCACAGAGACAAGAGAAGCCAAGACGCAGATAAGTAGGAGTACAGAAAAAGACAATCAAGGTAGGCTTAAAGCACACAATGGTGCAGGAAAGGAAGTAGCGAGGGGAAGGACAGAAGTGAAAAGAAGCCTGGACGAATTCTTTAGTGGGGAGGATGCGCAGGCAGGTGGGGTAGTAGGCTCAGAGGTGCGGCAGGGGCTTTCAGCCTGTGCTACTATGGCAAAGCCAGCAGGAGGTCAGTAGTGCAGGATGGCTGCCCAGCCCTGAGCTAACTGCCGCTGTGCACAAGCCAGGGCACGGGCATCCTGAGAATGAATAGACCAGGCTTTCTGCCTATGTGATCTTTGCCACTCTACTCCAGAGCCAGAGACTGGGGTTCACCTGTCAAAACTCGACTCATGAATCGATTTGCCAGAGAATACCTACCAGGTTGTAGCAACCACTTCATTCCAGAGCTGGCCAAGGAACCGGGTGGGACAATGGGATAGGCCCTGCCTATCCCAGCCACCATGTCTAGGGTCTGTGCCCCCCACTTGGAGCACAGTGAGCTGCTGTAGATAGTATTTGTATGGCAGATGGGGGCTGGGTGATGAGGAGCTGTGGCCAAGCCAAAGGAAAGCTAAAGCTTCCAGACAGTCCTCCAAAGCCTTTCAACCCATCCCCTCCAAACAATGAGATTCTATAAATGTTATGGTAATAACTATGTGCCAGTTTTGGGGATTGCAGAAATCAGTGAGCACAGCAACATACACACTTCAGCTATGCACGCATGCCAGCTACAGTGAGATGCTGTAGCACAGTCAAGCAGTAGCACGAAGCACGAACACTTCGGAACTGTTTGGCCAACTGCTCAGTCAGCAGAGCAGCTGTCGGTAATTCTTGCCCCTTCTTCAGAGTGGCCTCGGTGTGGCAGAGTGTAGGGAAGGATACCCACCATCATCTACCCCGAGATAAACCACCCCTCACACACACACATACACATACACACAGAGGTAATGCCACTCACCTGGGGGCACCCCCACATCAGGGCTGCCGTCTTGCAGCCAGTTTGAAGTCGAAGTTGGAAGGAAGAGAATATAAACCTGTGTCTTCCTAAGGTGAGCAAAGGACAGTTAGGGTAGTTCTCATTCTTCTTCACCACAAAAGTAGTCTCTAAGAAATCCTTTTACTAAAAAAATCATTGTAATGTTTATTTAAAATAAAAGAGAATGTTTTCTATGTATATCTTTTGTGAATATTTATTAGGATTTTCTTGTATAAAAAAGTGCAATATTAATAATTTGTACATTGTCATCCATTAAAATAGGTATTTGGGGGACTTATTAACTTCCTGCAACTGTATTCCTGTAAACTCAGCAGCGATTATTGTATTTTTCCTATTTGTAATTGAAGCTGGTGTTTAACTCTTGATCCATTCACTGTGTTCAGAATACATTGTAAAAGCTAATATGGGTACCAGGGCAATAGAAGGGATTCCTTGGTGGCACAATAGTTATGCATGGAATGATGAAGACTGATTCCATAATACTACTAATGCGGCTGATGAGTTCAATAAAATCAATGGTCAATATTTACGTTTCCTAAATAACAGGCATCCTCCAGCTCTGCCATGTGCCAGGTTGTAGCAGTGGGCAGTGGGTTTCAGGGCGAGCTGGAGAGCCTAGGCTTGGGGTGGAAGGCAGTGTGCTCCTTGCATGAGATGAATGTACATTTAATGTCTGTTCTGTGAATTGTGACTCAGCAGCACCACAGGATTTTTAGAGCTGCTGGATAATGTAGAAGGAGGTACTTCCTCCTCTAAAACACAAAACTGTATTTATATTTTTTGTACAGATAATACAGCCTATTTATTTAAATTATGTTGTCTGAGTCTCTATTAAGCTCATCCTTCCCATTAATATATTATGTAGGAGGTGATAAAAGTCTGTTAGCTGTGGGAAGGCATTTGGAATAAGTTAAGACACTACTTGGGACACGTGAGTCTCCTATCAGTGTCTAGGTTCAAGTCTTGTCTCCACTTCTGATTCCAGCTTCCTGCTAATGCACATCCTGGAAGGCAGCAGGTGACAGTTCTAGTGTTTGGCTCTCTAATACCTTATTACACATGGAGGAGACCTGGAGTGAGTTCCCAGCTCCTAGATTTGACCTGGCCAAGCCCTGGATATCACAGTCATTTGGAGGATTAAATGGGAGATAGCTTACATGTGCATTTTCTCGCTCGCTCGCTCACTCGCTCTTTGTGTGTGTGTGTGTGTGTGTTATATGTATAACTCAATTTTTTTTAATTATTTAGAAAAAAATCAATTGAGTGGTTCCCAACCTGTTATGTGTGTTTAGCGGAAATGGAAGAATTATAGCAGACAGTTTTGCAGGGGACGCTGGGACCCAGGCCTGAAATGGCCAGCTCTGTAAATGAACTCACAGAAACCACATTTGTAGATGTGTACACATTCAGGCCGAGCACCACCAAGTGAGCTAACCAATCACCTCATTTACAACCACAAGTGGTAGGAAGACGGGAGCCACAGTACCGTCAGTAAGAAAAGCAATGGGGCATCTCTTGAATAGAGTGGTGTCTCCACTCCTGGTCATACTTTCTGCCAACAGCAATATACACAGTGCAAAAAGACTAACCTTTATAGATCACTACTACATTTACTCCTAACATTAACTCAATGTATTTTTTTCCTTTTTCATATGGGTACAAGCCCACAGTCATCCAACTTGTAGAAGCAGGACTCAAAACTCAGGCAATCTAACTCTAGACAAAGGCTTGCCTCTCCCCACTGTGCTGCCTCTTGCCTATCTGTGCTCTGCTGACCATGCCCATAGCCACATTGACATGCAAGTCGTTCTTCCCTACTGCACTGAGGTTGGCAGAAGGAAACGGTGGGACATTTTTTTTTTTGGAGCTATTGCTTTCTCTTATTCAAAAATCAAATCCTTTGGCATCATAGAGCTCCTAGCTCCCTATTTTTAAAGCATTTTCATAGAAATAAAAAAGCTGCTGTGGGAAACGCAGGACCAAAAGAGAATAAAAAAGGAGCACGTTTGTAGACTTCTTTTTTTAATTTATTTGGCAGGTAGACTTATGGACAGTGAGAGAGAGACAGAGAGAAAGGTCTTCCTTCCATTGGTTCACCCCCCAAATGGCTGCTACAGCCGGAACTGCACCGATCCAAAGCTAGGAGCCAAGTGCTTCCTCCCAGTCTCCCATGCGGGTGCAGGGGCCCAAGCACTTGGGCCATCCTCCACTGCCTTCCCGGGCCACAGCAGAGAGCTGGACTGGAAGAGGAGCAACCGGGACTAGAACCTGGAGCCCATATGGGATGCCGGTGCCATAGGCAGAGGATTAACCAAGTAAGCCATGGTGCCAACCGCTGTAGACTTCTTCATAAATGAATTGTAGTCAAAGGGCAGAATGTCCCAAGCCCCAGTGATGTGCACACAGGAACCACCATGAGAGATGCTCCAAGGATCCACAGCCCAAAACCCAAACTCCAGTCTGGTTTCCAATAACACCCCAGCACATCTCGTTCCTGTTTGAATTTGAACAGCATGAAAATTTAACAGCTATTCTTGAAATTCCAATTATTTTCTAAGAAGTTTTTTTTTTATTTTTCTTTTAATAGAGGGGAAAAAAAGCCAATACCAGAATTAAACTCACATACCAGCAACTAAACAATATCCCACAGAGGCCCCCGGACAGGGGCAGTGGAGCTGGAGATGCCAGAGCAAAAACCCAAGGAATCTCAAATGGTGGGAAAAGTTCAAATAGAACATACGGAAGGTTTTCCAGCCAAAATCACAGACTTCACCAGGGAGAAAAAGAGATTCCTACCAAGATGCCACCTACCAAGATGCTACCAACCACAGTAAAAAAGTTTGGAATCTTAATCATGAGCCAGTATTGGGGTTGTAACTCCTCATACAAGTTCCTACCTCCCCTCTAAGTTTCAAGACATTAGTAAGAGGAGCCCAGGAATTCTGGGGGCCCATTGAAACAAGAATAGTCAACTGTCACCAAAGTTCATTCATGCCTCAAGTTCCTCATCTGCAAAGTAGGATACCTCATAGGGTAGGGATGTTGTGCGAGAACTAGTTGATACATAGTGACAAAAAATAGGGGTATTGATATGTCGCTGAAGCACTCACTGACTGTTCATTGCTATTACCACCACCATCCAAGCTGCCCAGGAACAGACAGGGAGATTAAGGGTAGAGTTGGCAGCATCTTTACTGGTTCAATTTTCCATTATTAGTACTGAATAACTCTCCTATGTGTTTCCTTTCTTTATTGAGAAGGAAATTAATCATCCCTTCAAAGTTCAACATTACACAATAGCATAAACAAAGGATATGTTAGTGAACCAAGTTCCATGTCAAGAGAAAAACAGTTCAGTCCATTTTGCTAACTCAAAGAACTTCCAAAACACCAAACATCCAGAAATACTGCCCAAGACAAATTTCATCTTATAAGCCCAATGTGCAACCTGGTCTCAATTTAAAATACCCAAATGTACATTTAAGTACCATTTTCTTTGAGTTGCCAGAAAACAAGAAGAAATACTCAGTAGCAAAAATATACATATAAAGTAAAAGCTAAAATTAAGGATGTCTCGTTTGCCAAGTGGTAGAGGTTTTTATAAACAACATGGTCCTATCCCCTTGCTTCATTCTGCAAACAAACCCAAAGGAAATAATCCAATTTTATTAATGGTTCTCAGCTAACACAGACCAGTCAGATTGAATAATCTATGTGTGAGACTCCCAAAGCAGTCAGAACCATCCACAGAGGATAAGAGAATGGTTGGGTAGAGGAAGAGATGGAGCTCTTGGGAAATAATCCAATGAAAACTGACCTGCTAACTCAACTAATGGGGGGGGGGGTGGTTAGAAAGCAAAATGAAGCGTAGGCCACTCTTTCCATCCCTCTGTTTGTTCAATAACCAGCTATAATTTAAAGAATTCAGAGTTCAGACTCGGTATACACTGAAGGTGAGTTAAACCAGGAAAGCGTATCTACCCACATCATACACACACTATCAGCTAGGAAAATATGTTGATAAAAAAGCTTTGAAGAGTAAAGAAATGAATATCCAATGTGTTCTACCAATCCTCTAAGTTTAATCCAAAATTATTGTCTTCTCCATCCCACTCACCCAGCCTGTTCACTGGGAGATGCTTTCACAGGCCAAATGTTCATGAATTGGTCAGGGGCTATTATCTTTAGCTGAACATCAGCTTCTTATTTACAGCACCCCAAGGTTTTCAGCTATTTTGTTGCTATCCCTAAACCAGAAGGCAGATATTGGTAATCAGGCCTTTGCTTACAAGAGCTGTGCTGTCGCCCTGCTTGTCAATTAAAGGTTTACAACTTCACTCAGGCGGATTCTACAAAGCACCTGGTTCCAATCAACCACATGTGTCACGCCTCTGATAACACAATATACAGATGTCACTCACCTCTGTTTTCAAAACGCAAAATCCATCTTCAATCAAGTATTTCCCAAGCTGCTCCTAAAGATATACTTTATATATATGTAAACAGAGTTAAATGTACAGTTTTATGTGAGGAGAACACAGACAGTAGAAAATGGTTCTCCTGCTGAACGTAAATAATATTTGTTTAAGCAGAATGCATAGGTCCTGAGAGAGTGCACAGTCAGCATTTAGACCAGAAAGCATGTCTGGGAAATCTGCCTCCTCATCCAGAGCTCCATGATGGCCCCAGGATTGACCTTGTTACAAATCCTATGAAGGATAGTAGACAAGTAGTGAACACCTTAGCTCTCAAGTGAGCCACTCTGGGGAATGTCTGATGGTCAAACTTGGGAGCACGCTGAGGAATTGTGTCATAGGCTTGATTTTCTTCCCCTCTACTTCATCATTTTTTCAATACAATAAAGGGGCCAGGAAATGACTTAGCTGGAGTCAATGAAGGATGACAAAGTCATTTGATCAGTCGCCATGTTCTATCCCATAACTTCACAATGCCGGGTTGTAGAGTGGATATCAGTCCTATGGACTCCTGAATCAATATGTTCATCTTGGATGAAGAGATTGACACCTAACTGAGAGCAGACCCCTCAACCTAAATCCTCCATCCCCTCTACACCATAAGGTCTTGCCTTTACACTTAGGTCCAACAGGGATGGAAAACAATTCAAGTCTTCATCTGGTCCTAGTGGTCTCAGTCTTCCTCGCCCCACCACATTGGCCTCCATCCTTCTCATTTCTTCTCCTACACTTCCTGATGTTTTCCCATCGTGTACCTTTCCTTTTCCTTACTGTGGCGTACACTCTTCCTAAAAGCCAACTCTGGGCCTTGGAGTCACAGAGAGCCTATTCCTTGCTTCAGGAAGCTCACCATCCACTCAGGAAGCAGACACATCCCACAACAAATGACAATGTTCCCTTCTTCATTTTTGAAGTCCAAGTTCTGATAATCTCCAGCTCTTCTTCCTCATTAGATTTTTCAAACAGCTCCCAGTGATGGCTCCCTTTAGTCCTAACCCCTCTTTCACTGGGGCTTCTGCAAAGGTCTTCCAGCTGAACTCTTCAAATCTACCCTTATGTCCTTCTATCCACTTTTCCTACAGCAACTATAATTATTGTTATATTGCCTGTAAATGTCAGTATAAACTGATGCATAACATTGACCTAAATCTATTCCCAATAGGAGCAGTTAGCTAACACTTAAAATACCCTGTCACAAATCCACCCTCAAAAAATAATTACTGCAAGAATTTAAATATTAGTATCTAAATCTGTACAAGAGAGCTCATTAACTACACACTAGTAAAATGTGCACTGCTGGAGAACTGCCAAGAGTATACAACCACCATTGCCTTTG